ATGCCTTGTGTGTGGCTAGTTAATGCAAGCTGAGGGGTTTTTTGAATGCTGGACGTCATTTTGTTGCACGTGCTGCTGCAAACTTTGCAGTGCAAAGCCAGGCCGGGGAGCCATCTTAAGTTGAGGCTGCATAGGCCTTGTGGTGCATGTGATTCAGATTCTATTCAGTTGAACCTCTGGTTACAAAGTTGGTTGGACAGTGTTCTCGAAGCTACCAGCATGAGTTTGACCAGACTGAAGAAGGACAGGAAGACTGGAGTGCCTGGAACAGGTGAAGCTGCAGGTTCCTTATTTTGGCTGCTGGTCCCTTATTTTCAAGGCTGCTGGTCCCTTATTTTCAAATCTGTAAGTTGACAGCTATGGGAGGAGGAGGAGGAGGAGGAGGAGGAGGAGGAGGAGGAAGAGGAAGAGGAAGAGGAAGAAGAAGAAGAAGAAGAAGAAGAAGAAGAAGAAGAAAGCGTTAGACTGAGGTGGCAGAATTTTGGACTTCAGACTGAAGGTGTATGTTTGGGGAAGAGGGAAAATCGTGCTTTGCCCTTAGTAAATTAGCACTTTACACAGGAAGGCTTTACTGCTTCCCCCTCCCCCTGATCTGTTATCATACTACAAGGGCTTTTGCCTTTTTTATGTGAAGGAGCATTAAGAAATATTGCCAACCCCTTCCCCTTTAACAAATCCAGGGAGCCCTCGCCTGTGGTGCAAAATTATACAGCCCAGGGTGACCACCAGCCTTTGTGTGACCTTGACTTGAGCTCAATAGGCGTCCGATCCATGGGGCTTTTGAGGGGCTCCGAGCCCCCTCAAAATTCGTTTTGGGGGGGCTCTGCCCCCCAATAATCTCGGCGCCCTCCAGCAGAGCGCAGTCGCTGCCTCCCCCGCCCAAAATGCACAGGGAGGGGCGGGCTGCATGCCTCCTGCCCTCCCTCCGAGCAAAAGCCTCCACCCAATTTTCCTTTGAGCTTGACTTAATAGGCGCAGCAAACGCTCTTCCCTATTCGCTCACGAGGAGGCGGCGCCAACTTTATTTGTCATATTCATGAGCTTATTTTTATTCATGACTTTCCCGGGCCCCCCAAATATTTTTTAAAGTCCGCGTCCCTGCTTGAGCTCCTTGGAAGAAAGGGTGGGATGTAAAAAATTAAAAAAGTATTTTTAAAATACATACATACATACATACATACATACATACATACTGTTTCCCTCACCTTCACTGCACTTCAATTCTTTCTCCCCTAAGCTTATGTTATCATTTTGTTGGAAATCTCAAGATGCTGACGCTTCAGAAGCCTCCTTAGGCATCCCTGTCAGGAAACAACCTTGAAACAGGCTGAGACAGGTCTAGGAGCTGTTAAAAGCACTGACCTCGCTAGCAACCTTACAAACACAGAGCATTTAATGCAGGCAGAGAAACTGGAAACCTTCTTCTGAGGTCATCATTATTACTTTTTATTATTATCTTGGTCACAATTGTTTTCCCCCCCTGACATCACTTGACAAACGTCTATCGACACAAAACGATTCCGGTCCATTTGTGAAAGACTGACAGATGGTCCTATGTACCAAACATTCAATGGGGAGTGCTTTAGGATTTGGTGCAAAACTCCTAAATGGACAGATCTTGAAGATACTCCACCACTGGTGACTCTACCCAGAGACTTACCACCAGGAATAGGCTGGTGGAAAACTACCTGGGCTGGCGCAAGACATTTTGGCACTTGAGTTGAACCACAAAACGATGATCCTCCTCGACAGGAAAGAAGGAGTGAGAGATCTACAGGGGTGGGTGGAGACCAGCAGCACCTCCTATTTGCCAAGAGGCCTCCAAGGAGTGCAACACAGGTGTCGCTGACACCACAGCAGAAGCAGCAGCGGACAATCCATTCATTGGAGGCCTGGCCTCATTGATGGGCTGCCCCTGGAAAAATACACAAGTATTTCCCTACTGCTGGACCATGCGGGTGGCGCTGTGGTTTAAACCACTGAGCCTTGGGCTTGCTGATCAGAAGGTTGGCGGTTCGAATCCCCGCAACAGGGTGAGCTCCCGTTGTTTGGTCCCAGCTACTGCCCACCTAGCAGTTTGAAAGCACGTCAATGGGCAAGTAGATAAATAGGTACTGCTCCGGCGGGGAGGTAAGCGGCGTTTCTGTGCACTGCTCTGGTTCCTTCTGATCGGCAAGTCCTAGGCTCTGTGGTTTAACCCACAGCGCCACCTGTGTGATTTACTGCCAGGTAAATGGGGTTAGGATTGCAGCAACCAATTCCAAGTTCAGCCTAACTAAATTAACTGAAAGGGAGAAATAGGGGTGGGTGGGTACAAACATATGGAAAACATGGGGTGAGGCAGTAATTTCTTACATGATATTGTGTAAAACTAGCTAACTCTCAAGGCTATTGATTTATTACAGTCACAATAAAAGTATACATTGCTCAGTTATATTCAATCATGCGCTTATAATGTCTGCAATTTAAGAATAAGCTTCTTTTAAAATGTTTTTATCACTCATTATTAGGGACGCGGGTGGCGCTGTGGGTAAAACCTCAGTGCCTAGGACTAGCCGATCGCATGGTCGGCGGTTCGAATCCCCGCGGCGGGGTGCGCTCCCGTTGCTCGGTCCCAGCGCCTGCCAACCTAGCAGTTCGAAAGCACCCTTGGGTGCAAGTAGATAAATAGGGACCGCTTACTAGCGGGAAGGTAAACGGCGTTTCCGTGTGCTGCGCTGCCTCGCCAGAGCAGCTTCGTCACGCTGGCCACGTGACCCAGAAGTGTCTGCGGACAGCGCTGGCTCCCGGCCTCTAGAGTGAGATGAGCGCACAACCCTAGAGTCTGGCAAGACTGACCCGTACGGGCAGGGGTACCTTTACCTTTACCTATCACTCATTATTATAATTAAGCTTTGCCACACCTTCTAAAAATTGGGAAGGCACAGACATGTTACATGGCTGGCATATAATTTCCACAGCACAAAAGGGGTCCTGTGTACAGTATACATGTTTTTCAAAATCTGCAAGCATGCTGTAGCATGGAGGGAAGCAAAACCTGTAACATATGGAAGATTTGAATAGGAGTCAGAGAACCTATCACAACGTGATTTGATCCTTGCATTGTACCTGTTGGGTGGAAAATAACTGCTACTAAATCACCAAGAATTGGCAGAACACAATTTACACTGGCATAACAATACCATTGTTGTGCTAGTCAGAAGCTATCCTCAACATCACATTTACAGTCATGGACTCTCAGTAGAAGGAAGAATGCTGTCGTCGGGGCAGCCCAGGACCTCCATCCACACTGCCCAGGCTTGTACCCTGGAGAGGTCACTTTGGTGCAGTTTGACTTCACCCTTGGAGGCGCACTCCATTGTCTCTTGAGACAGACAGATGCAAACAAAAGCTCACTTATACACATACCTACCTGCTCCCTAAAATATCACTATTAATATACTTCTTCTTAATTGTATTTCAGTTCAACAATTACTTTGATAAAATACATATTTTGTTATGTGCAAATGGCTTTAGATACCTATTAGGTCCATAGATTGCCATATAGCATACTGTATATTCAACACAAAAAAGCAGCGACAATTTGTTGTTGACAAAGGACAGCTGGACATTTAAAGGGCCCCATTACCTTCAGTAGCTTAGGGCAGGGGTAGGCAACCTAAGGCCCAGGGGCTGGATGCAGCCCAATCGCCTTCTCAATCCTGCCCGCTGACAGTCCGGGAATCCACGTATTTTTACATGAGTAGAATGTGTTCTTTTATTTAAAATGCATCTCTGGGTTATTTGTGGTGCATAGGAATTCGTTCATTTCCCCCTTCAAAATATAGTCCGGCCCCCCACATGGTCTGAGGGACAGTGGACTGGCCCACGGCTGAAAAAGGTTGCTGACCCCTGGCTTAGGGCCTCATCAAACCTAAATCTGGCCCTGCTGGCAACCCTATTACATATACATACAGTGGTACCTCTGGTTACGTACTTAATTTGTTCCGGAGGTCCGTTCTTAACCTGAAACTGTTCTTAACCTGAAGCACCACTTTAGCTAATGGGGCCTCCTGCCGCCGAGCAAGATTTCTGATCTCATCCTGAAGCAAAGTTCTTAACCTGAGGTACTATTTCTAGGTTAGCGGAGTCTGTAACCTGAAGCGTCTGTAACCCGAGGTACCACTGTATACACACACACACACATACTTTTGAGGAGGTCACTCAGCCATTGCTCTTGTGTCCTTTCTTTTAGCAGATCCAAGATGACCAGGTAACAGCAAAAACTGCAAGGTTTTCAGCGGGGGCAATGAGAACACCCCCCCCCCATTATTTGATTACTGATGTCAGCCTCCAAAATGTATTTTCTGTAGTCATTTTTTTTTTTACCTCTATCTACATTTTCTGCTTTTTTATTGCCATGGCTAGTGGCTGATGCAAATAAAGATTCACCTGATTTTCTCTCTCTCTATATATATACATATACACGCGCGCACATTTATACATACCAGCATATAGAATAATCCCCCCCCCTTTTGCATTAAAACACCATTGACGAATTGCAGCGTGTTCGGGAAGGGAGCGCTAAGAGGCTGCAGAACCCGCTAAACAGACGCTCCCCGCAGGCTGCGAAATCCCAGTCCTTCCACCGCAGCGGAACCTCGCGGGGGAAAGGGGCGTGTCCCTCTCTCGGCGGCGGCGAAGGGGCGTGTCGCTTTGGCTGGGGGGGGGGAAAGAGAGTCGGCCCCGCCCCCTTCCCGCCCCGCCTCCCTAGGGTGGCGCGCGCGCGCGCAGGCCGGGGAGCAGCGGTGGGCGTGGCCCGCCGCGGAGCCCTTTTCCCCTTCTCTCTCTCTCTCGGGGGGCGGTTACCGAGTCGATGACGTCACCGCGGCCTAGGGATGGGGAGGCGGGCTCAGCGGGGCGGAGAGGCAAAATGGCGGCGGAGGCGGCGGGCGCCGCTACTGCCTCAGGGGCGCCGGAGGAGGCTGCGGGGCCGCGGCGGGCGGCGGCGGCGGCGGCGGCGGCGCTGAGGAGACCCTGAGCGAGGCGGGGACGAGCGGCGGCGCGCTTTCGTGCCTGTGGGCTGCTGCTGCTGCCGGGAAGGGCGGCGCGCGTGTGCCTGTCTGAGGGGTCTCATGTGCGGCGGAGGCGGCGGCGGCGGTGGTCCTTCGCCCTCAGGAGGAGGAGAAAGAGGCGCCTCATCCCGGCGCTGCGTCCGCTGAGCCGGCTCCCCGGGCGGGCGGGCGGGCAGGCGGCAGGATGAAGTTCGCCGAGCACCTTTCCGCGCACATCACCCCGGAGTGGAGGAAGCAGTACATCCAGTATGAGGTAGCTGCTGCTGCTGCTGCTGCCGCCCTTGTGAGGGTCGAGGGGGAGACGCAGCGAAAGCGGGGGGGGGGAATGAATGGCTTTGAGGGGTCTCTGTGAGGGGTGGGCATAGAGCGGTGTTTTGGGCTTCGGAGGAGGCGTGGAGGGAAAACAAGGGGTCTTTGTGGGTGGGGGGCGGTGGAGAGAAGTCACCCCGGGCGGGGAAGGGCGAATGGCTTAGGATATGGCTTAGGATATGGGTGCGCAAGGCTGAAAAGTATGGTGGGTGGGTGTGAGAAAACAGGAGAGGCGAAAGCGCTTGTTTACGCGGGGGGGGGGAAACAGCTCCCAATTTATCCTCCCCCATCCCCCACCACCCCCAATTCTAGGATATCTGCGGGTGCTCAGGTGCGCCCCAAGCGCAAAACTCCGCCGCCCCCGCCCCCCTTGGTGCGCCGCATTCTCTCCCCCCCCCCGGACTTGGCTCGGGTCCCTCCCATCTCTCGCGCGCCAGCCAAGTTTGCGGCGCTGCCGCGCAAGGTGGTGGTGCAGCTGCAGCTTCGACCTCCTCACCTGCCTCGTTGCATTTGGTCTCTTCTTCCACGGATTTCCTGAAAGCACACACACACATATATTCTCTTTTCCCCCCATTACCCCCATGGCAATCCGCTTCGGGAAACTTGGCACCGAGGCTTTGGGGGGGTTGAATATGCGTGTCCTTTTTAGCCGTGGGGGAGCAGGAGCCCAAGCAGCCTCCCTCCTTTGTTGAAGGGTGCAAGGCTGGTCTCCTCCACCACTGGAATTTTATAAATTTTTTTATGGCTGCAAAGCCCCTGTATCAGTGCTGTGATAGAAGATTGCTGGGTTGCGGGTAGAGAGGAACTGTAAAGGTTATCTGGGAAGCGCTTGGGAAAGGAAGCTAGGTGGCACCCTATCCCAGGGTTATCAATACCCTCCAATTCTGTCACTTGGAATTTTCCATATCAATTGTTTGTAACTGTCCTTGATCAGATGCCCGAGTTGCTATATACCAATGGCCTAGTGTTGCTTAACCACATTTTGACAATTTGTCTGTGTTGGGCTTGAGGGCAGCGTGTGAGGATCTGAGTGTGAGCTGCCCTTGTGGGTGTGGTGATTCCTGGAAGTGGTTCAAGGAGACTGGTTGCCAGGCCCATAGCATCAAACTAGATACATGAAGGCCTGCAAAAATAGAAACCCTCCCTCCCCTCTTTTCTGGACCCTCTCATCTCTACTCCTCATATTTCTTTGAGGTTTGGCTTTAATGCCTATGGTTTGCCTTGAAGATTTTATCTTCCTTCTGTCAGTACCTTCTGTTGCAGTTTTGATTATTCATTGTGTTTTATCCCTTTGAGGCTTTCTCTAATAATGCAACACCTTTCCATTTGTCGTATCTGTGGCATGGATTTTCTCCAAAAAGTAATCAACTGTACAAGCCAAGCATGTATCCACCTAGAGCCCTCATGCTATCCCTTGTTTTTGAGAGTCTCAGCTGCTCTGTCTTTTGTGGCTTTTATTTGGGTTAGGCAGTTTTTGAGAATTTAGAAAATATATCTGGGCATTTCTTCCTACAGTTTCCATTGTTTGTGTTTGTACTGACTTCAAGTCCGTATAAGGAATATAGCATAAGCATGAATGCAAGTATTTCAAGAGGGAATTGACCACATATTTAGTCAGGTGTTTCAGCTCACCCCCACCCCCCAGACTTATATACAAAAAAGGTCACATGTAATTATTTAGTTACCCTTTTGAAATTTGTTCTTGTTTCTTCTTTGCTTAGGGGAAAATAATAGCTTCACAAAATGCCTGATAAGCTTTAAAGAGCATGTTCTTAGTGAGTTTGCCATACAAAGACTTGGGTTTTAGCAAGAGCTTAGATTCCCTTGGATTGTCTGCTATCCTGTCATTTTCACTTGGATTCTCAAGAAGATAACCATGTACATGTAGTCTCCAAATCAACCTCTGATTTTCACTGACATTGGAATTTGAGGAAGGGCAAGTGGCTGTTAAAGTGATCTTTGTTAAAGGACAGCACTGAAGCTTTGGGCGTAACATCTCAAATTTAGATGTATGGAGAAATTAGTAGGAAAACATACAGATTGCATTCACCTCTACAAGTAAACAAGGATGAGAGACCTTTTTATTTTATGTAGTCTCCGTAAGTGTGAAAAGCAGCTCAAGGGCTGTGAGAACTTTATTTCAAATGGTCTTTTAGATGGCCTGAAATACTCAGTCAGTTGACTTTTGCCTAATGCATAAGTAGCTTTTCAGCACCACTGTCAGTTCTCTGCATGCAACAGCTTGGAATTATATTCAGTCCGGTAGACACTGAGCAAAATGCATTAATATAGTTTTCCAATAGCTCCTCCTAAAAATGAAGTAATGAAGAATATTGCGACTTCAGTGTTGAGACTAAATAGGTTTGGCACATTCATAACAGTGCTACTATTAGAAGGGATTATACATACAATGGTATGTATTTTTCAAAACTCTATTTTTCTGTTAAGTGTTTAATAAACTCCGGCTGTTTACAGCAGATGCCGTTATGTCCATGTGTTTGCCCCCACCCCGGTTGAGGTTTGTAGAGGGTGCATCAGGGAGACAATAACTTTCAGGAGGGTTGAATTGGTCAAGGAATTGCCAGCTGTGATCCTCCTTTGGAGTTTTATGGGGACATGGATTCTGTAAGGATCTTGAAGGCAAACTATGCCTTTATTTGTACCTTATTCATGTTAATATGTCCACTCAGATTCTGCAGCTTAAGCAAAACTCAGATAGCCTTATCTATTTGTCAAGGACAACTTAGAAAAAGCTATTTTTTATTTTTATTTTTTCAAAAGTTCTTACACACACACACACACACACACACACAATAAATCACATTAGATAGGGCATAGTGGAAATAATAGGGATGCGGGTGGCTCCGTGGTTTAACAGGGCTTGCCGATCAGAAGGTGGGCGGTTCGAATCCCCGCGATGGGGTGAGCTCCCATTGCTCGGTCCCTGCTCCTGCCATGCCAGTTCGAAAGCACATCAAGGTGCAAGCAGATAAATAGGTACTGCTCCAGCGGGCAGGTAAACGGCTGTGCGCTGGCCAGATGACCCGGAAGCTCCCTCAGCCAATAAAGCAAGATGAGCGCCGCAACCCCAGAGTCGTCCGCGACTGGACCTGATGGTCAGGGGTCCCTTTACCTAGTGGAAATAATGGGACTATCTGTCCCAAATTAGAGGCTTGTTTTATATCAAAAGTTGTTCATAGGAAGAAGAAACTAAACATAGGTCTTTTGCAGGTCACCTCAAGTTTATGAAACCATAGCTGCTCCTAAAAAGGCGTTGGTATGGTTTGTGGTTATAGTGTAGCATGAACAACTGGGTTCAAATACCTATTTATCGCAAAGCTTAGAGGCAGAACTTGGGCTGGTAGTGCATGCTTGACTTAACCTATCTCACAGGGTTGTTAGGATAAAAAGGAAGGACTATCCCTGGAGCCCTGATCAAATTCTAGAAAGGATGGGCTAAAAAACTCTGCTGCTGCAACTTGTTTTACACTCCCATTCATGCTTACCTAACCCAGTTGCTGTTCCAAGGAAAGCTGGTTTCTGTGACTTGCTATACATTAAGCAAAATTTGTCTAGCATCTCCGGTCTTTTGCATAATTTTGTTTTTATTAGTCATGGGAAGGAGCAAGGAGTTTATGCCTTGGCATAGAAGTGATACTTGCCTACAACAGACAAGCCAGTGCCGCCTCAGGCTACTGAGTCTTCACCAGGCACTGCATGTTCATGCTTCAAACATACCTCAGTCAGCAACAAGGTGCTGATTTAAACATTAAAGCTCTAGAGAAGCTGCTTCATAACCAGTGCAAAGTTCCATATTTTTTCTGTGCTCGTGCTGCATCATCATGCACATTCTAATCTAACCTAAGCCCTGGATACCTCCAGAACAGATTAATATTAATATTTGTGAATGTATTGAAGAGGATGCAAACAATTTTAGCTGCAAAGTAGCCCACTGCAGGAACAGATGGGGGATGACCAGGTTCTAAAAATCAATACCATTTGAAAAAGCTCTGCTAGGCAGCATCTTAATAGCATGTTGTTGTTGGACCCCTGCCATCGACACTGACATGCCACAGAGTTTCCACCCTGAGAGCTGATACAGCACCGTGGCTGGAAGACTAGTTGCGAACTGTCTGATTTGGACTTTGCCTCTGCCATGAACTTGTTAGTGGCTTTCAGCAAACTCAGTATGTTTAGTGTCTGCTCTGCAAACCCCATCTCATAAGGTTGTTATCACAAATGTCCAGTTCTTTTTTTAATACTGTTTACTCCTTGTGAGTTTCAGCTTGAGTTCTTTATCTACTTTATAGCCATCTTGCTTGCAGCTTCAAGACATGCAATTCCCTAACCTGGGTCTGTTACTAAAGTGTTAAAAAAGTTGGGAGGTCTGGTTATGGATCTGTGGCATGATGGAGGGTTTGACCTTTACTATTCTTTTTTAGTGGGCTAGTTACTTGGCACTGTTAATTGTTTTAACCCCCATCAGCCAGTTCCCGTGGCCTGAAATGATGGGAGTCATAGTCTATAACATCTGGAGGGCATGCATTGGATACCTGGTCTACTCCCACTCTAGTGCCTAATGGATGGTCTCAAGTCTGGTGACTGGAACACTGTCCCCCAGCTTTTGGTTCTGAAGGGATTTCAATATCTGTCAAGGCTGTCTTGTCCGGTTTGGCTCAGGATGTCCACCATGACGACTGTGGAATTGTCCCAGTATGGTTTTGGCCCAGCACATTTAGCAGGATTTCAGCCAAGTCCTTCATAGTGAGGCTTTATTAATCGGAGTTGCATTGTGGCATGGCTTAATTGTGTCACAAAAGACTTGTTTCAAATATCCTTTATACTTTATTGCTGAATGTAGAGCAGATGCATACAGTTAACAAAATTATTATTTTCTATAGTGCGGGTCACTAATGTTTTGAGGCCAGTGGGAACTTTTGGAAT